TTCGTTCTAGTAGACAACATTTTGGTGGTTCAAGTGTAAGTACTAGTGGTAGTGGGTCCAATGCCAATATTGACAACAATGAAGGTAACAATGAGGATGACATCCAAGCTTGGCGAAAAAGCTTTCTTCACGCGAAGAAAAAAGTGCTTAATGAAAACAAATCTGAGCTTGATCGGTATCTTGAAGCCGAAAGTGAAGATGTCATTAATCTGGACCTTTTGATGTGGTGGAAGAGTAGTGGGTCAAAGTATAAAATCTTATCGTTGATGGCTCGGGATGTTTTGTCCATTCCCGTGACTACCATTGCTTCGGAGTCGGCTTTTAGTACATCGGGACGTGTGCTTGACGGCTTTCGAAGTTCTTTGACTCCTAGAGTGGTGGAAGGTTTGATTTGCACTCAAGATTGGTTAAAAGCCGTTCGCGTGCCGATTAATGTTGAAGAGTGCATTGAGAACGCGGAAAAGTTTGAGTCGGGTAAGTCGTGTATATTTCATTATTTCTTTTTATCTTGTAATTCATTCACATATTTATCTATTGAGTGAATACTTTATTAATCTTTTTTTTTGGTTTTTAGATTTGGATTGTCTTACCGAGGATATTATCATTGGTAAATAGACTTTCTTTTGTGGAAACTCCGATTTTGTGGTTAGTAAATATACTTCATTAATCGACATATTTGCATTTGTCTTTAGAGCATGATTTCTAGTTGATTTTTCTTTATGTATGAATTTTAGGTTTTTTACCATGCCCGTGATGGTTCTGGATGGTTGCAACGCAAGAACTTTGTTGGGTCTTCGGGCTGTTTCATCATTTTCATGGAGCTGTGGCTGAATTGGTCTGGTGTTGTTATTGTCTTCTCCTAGGAACAGTGGTGCTTTTCATCATTTTCATTTTACTAAAGCACTGACTTTTCAATTGTAGAAGTAAAGAGTTATTGGAGGGTTTTAGCATGGTTAGTTCTTTTGTGTGTTATCCATCCGCCGTGGGTGAATATTTGGTGAACTTTCTTTGCTTGAAACAAATGGACAGGATTATGCATTAGCTAATATAGTTTCATCATTTTCATTTTTATTACTTCGAGAAGGACAGAGCACTTGTGAACATGTCAATTGCTGGACATGGTGCTTGTGAATTGTTTATTTTGCTCCAAATTTCTGAAACCAGAAAAAAAAAAAAAAAAAGGTTATCGGGTAGACCCTGGAACCGGACCGGAAAAACAGGGTAGGTTCCAAAACAGGGTCTAGGGAAAACAGGGTAGGTTCCAGGTTCCAAAAACTGGGAACCAGTTGTAACATGGTAGGTTCCAGGTTCCAGGTCTGGACCCTACCCACCCTGGAACCGATCACCCCTAGTGGTGAAGATTCATACCCACAGAGAGAGCTTCCTTGCTTCTTTCTCATTGGATCAATAATGGCTTCTTGTAATTCGGGTATACTATATTTATCAATTTGATCTCATGTTCATGTGATTGAAAAATCCTATTATTCTAACAGCTCGAACTTGGGGGGTTTCGGTGATGTTGCCCTCCTTTATATTTTTGAAAGGGGGGCCCGTTGTGGACAAGGTTGTCAGGGCAAACATAGACGCCCTTCTGCGGACCATCACGAAGCATTTGGGTGCTGCTTCGTCTTAATCACGCGGATCGTAGTTTGCTGGCTTGGGAACAAGTGTCTTAAAATATATGTGGGGTCAAAACTAGTAAAACAGTGTGTTTGGCCACAATAAATAAATGTTGATTGATGTGTATGAAAAGTTCTTTTACCCGCAACTTTTTTACGCTTACTAACTTTTTTTTCCAAGAGGACCTTACTCACATATTGACTGGTGGGACCCGTAAGGTGGAGAAAGTCATCACCGTCCATATGTAGGTAGTTTAAATTCATCACAGGTTAGTGTGGGTTAACATACCTAATTATTAATTATTAGACCAAGGTCAGCTTGTAATCTAAGTTAGGGAAATTTCGCCAACATAATTGGGAATTAATTTGTTGCATGACAAGTTAAGAGAATTGATTATGAGTGGTTAAGTGAAGTTGGATGCTCTAACGCTTTGTGATCTTGGTTAAATCTTGATAATTTGCCTTACTAATTTTCGGTTTGCTTTAGATTAGGTTTACTTTGCAATTTTAATTAGCTTTTGAATCCTTTAAGTTTCGGCCCTTTTATATTTAAGTCCTTTAATTGGTTTAGTTCACTTTTTACTTGCCTTTCCGACTTGGTTAGCTAGTTCCTTGGATTGATCACCTTCGGTAAGTAATTGAATAATTAGAGACAATCATTGTTGGGACGATACTCACTCATCTCTTTATTACTTGTAGATATTTTAATATACATTAATGGCCATTATCCCTATACATGTACGTTGTGCACATATATGGCAAAAAATAAGCCTCCTCAATTGTCAATTGAATTTCCAAAATTTTCAGATCACAAATATACCAAGTGTATTTATCGAAATTCCATAAGTGTTTCGACAATTGCATACTCAAACCTTGGCCCTCACTAATTTCAATTCATGTAACATCACTAATTGATCCTACGGATTTTAGGATGTCACATTTGTGGTAACTGATTCTAGAAATTCTGGTGTGAATAGCTTGGGTGTGTTAATGAGGCATCTAATTATTTGGTGAGACATGGTATCATTTCATATGAAAAGCATGCTGAATGAAGTGTGTTACGTCATGTCATTACATACGTGCGATATGCTAGAGATGTGTGTGAAAGAAAGATGTTATGTGATGCCCAAGGCCAGCAAACCTTGGAAGTCCGGTCAGTAAACCGGATGATGCCCTGGAGGAGTTGAGATGCCCCTGTGCTGTGTGTTGGGATGCCCCTGTGCTTGTGCGTGGGATGCCTCGGAGTGAGATGTATGTGGTTAGCGAACCACAGAAGTTCCGAAAGTAAACCGAAAGATACCCCGGAGAAGTCGGGATGCCCTTGTGTTGTGTGCTAGAATGCCCCTATGCTTGTGCTTGGGATGTCTCGGGGTGAGATGCCTGTAGCCAACAAGCCATGAAAGTCCGGACAGTAAACCGAAAGTCACCTGCACGGACCGGCCAGTAAATCGGTTGAATCGTGAGATGGGAGTGGACCCGATGACATGACATGAATGAGAAATGAAACGTGTGATACATACAATGCATGCTGACATTATACATGTGACTATGAATGTTACATTCGAATCGTGTGTATTCATTATAGTGTGCATCGATTGTTTCATGCTAGATGTGTCCCAGGAACCGAGAGTTAGTTTGATCGATTGGTTTATAAGCTAGTCGTTTCTCTTGTGGAGCATTAGCTCACTCCTGTTGATATTTATTTTTAAGATCTTTAGGCATCCCTCCTATTCCCGCATCTCCTATCTCTCGATATGGTGCGCCCGTAAACTTTGAGGGCGAACCACATGAGTTTACAGATCCGGCTTTCCCTTCCGTGATATTAGTGAGATACACCGCTACACTTTGGGTGGACATAGGTTCACCGGATGGAAATGTACTATACCGTTTTGTTTCGATACATGTTCTGGCAGGGGGACAACTTGTGGGGCCGATTCTGTATCTTGATAACAGTAACAGTGATGAGGGAGGTGGCTATGAGGAGTAGTTGCTAGAGGATGGTGTAGTACATATGGGGAAATGACTTTTACTTGTCACAGTCGTACCTTTTTGACTTGGACTGTGAGAATGGATGATTGGAGATATTGGAAACCGTGAGTTTCACTTGGATGGCGTTAGGGGGGTAGGACACCTTTTGACCTCCCAGATGTAGTCTTTTGCTATAGTATTTGATGATGATGTCATCTAAATCGCCCTTGTATATAAAATAAAAATATGGAATGAAGATGCGGTATTTACGTTGCGTATGTGTCTATTGAATAAGAAATGTTTACTTTGATTGTACATTGTTTTTCGCTTGTGCTATAAGTAAAAAAACTAAAAAACACCTTAGTATATGACGCTTTGGGATGTCACACTTTGAGCACATCCTTGGTCTACATTTAGTTTTTCTCTATTGAAGACTGTGGCCAAACTCACAAATGATGTTATTATAGACATCCTCACAAGGTTGCCAGTCAAATGATTGATGCGTTTCGCGTGCGTAAGTAAGCGATATCGTTCAATACTTTCCCATCCTTGGTGTGCCCGCACGTACTTGAAACGAGCACTCCAGGACAATTCGAGCACTCCCCTAAGGATACTTAGAACCAATCCCCTTTTTTAGTCCATAGATTACGAAGCATTTCCCGAGACATGTGATGAACGGGCTTTAAAGCTATTGAAAACCCTGTGAAGGTTTTGCCAGATGAACTATTTGAATCGCGGGGTCATGTAATGTATGGGTATGCTTGGCCATCGATGACCGCACTAGCGTATAATCCATCTACTAAGGTCCTCTGTGAGTTGCCGAAGCTGAGTTCAATTCGGGGAGGCAAAATTTTCGATGGTTTTGGGAATCATTCATTAATCGATGATTGTGAGGTACCGAGGGGTGCTTACTTGTTTTGCCGCTTTGAGAAGATACAAGCTTTTATGAGATAAGACTGATCGCGTCCATGGAAAAAGGGAGGGCAATTAGGTCCTTCTCTTTCCAATTTTCAGATTACGTGGTGCTTCTAGTCCGATCACGCCATCCCATCAACACCATGTGATGATTTTTAACCACGTCGTTCTGTCGGCAAAACTAGTGGCATGCAGCTAAATAACTCGGCGACCCAAAAAACGAAAAGAGTCAGAAGATTTCATTGTGCAAAACATAATAATATTTTGAACATAGAAATCTAATCGCACGAGTTAAAATAACTTAAAGGGGAAAAATGAAACTCTCAACACTATCTCTTTAAACACTTCAAACATGATAATGGGCTTACCAAATTATCTATCAAGCCTCAAACCATGAAATGGGTGGGCAAGCCCAGCATTCGGGCCGGTCCGGTCCGGTCCGACCCGGCCCATTTTCTGTCCCCTCGTTCGCGCGCTCGATCCCGCGCTTTCCTTTCGCGCGCTCTCCATCTGTCTCTCTCTCTCCCTCTCCCTCTCCATCTTCTCTAGGGTTCTAGAGTTCAACTGCCCGATTTTCTCCAGCAAAACTTAAACTTTTGCAGTTCTTTCGGTAGTTCCGTCGCGTGATTCAGGCGCATTGCGTCGGAAGTTCTAGGAGCTCCTCCGGAGGCCGTCGCGATCCCCGTCGGCCTCTCGGCGACGCTCCGAAGGGCGGGTTCGAGTACCGACCCTCGTTGTTCCGCGTGCTCGATTGTCACGAGCTGTTGCCGGTGAGCGTGGGACAAAGGTGATGTTTTTTTTTTTCAAGGAATCAGCTGATGCCGTTCTATTTGGTGTGTACACAAGAATTTTGTACGGTCTTGTTTGCCAATGGCTTCAGTCTCTGTTGGTTGTTTCTTCAATCCCACTGTTTCCCTTTCTCCCCAATCATGTCTGGACCGGAACTGCGGAGACGAAACGAGGGTTTCGTGGAGTAATTTGAGTCTACACTTGCATTTGCTAGTTGCTTCATTCAATTCTTCTGCTTTGTATCTGTTTAGCGTGCATAGGCGCCGGATGTTTTTAACTGGTCCATTACTAGAACGTCTTGTATTCTGCTGATACTCTAGAAGTGGCTGCAGCAAGCCGTGACTGTCGTTTTCTCGCCGTTTCTCTACGACACCGTTGCAGAATGGTAAGCAAAAATGCAGCAGAAAAGGCCCTGAATCTCATAAGAAGCAGGCTCTGCAATCCTAATTTCATCTTCAGACCTCTCTGTGATTCTCCCGACAGCAATTACAGGTCTGATTTTCTTTCTTTCCTAATTTGCCGCGTTAAAGATGCGTTCTTTCTCGATTTATCATTGCTCAATCTCGTCGATTCGCTTCTGTGGATTGAAGAGACGGCAAAGTTGGTTTTAGACCATCAGAATTTGAATTGAAGTACTTTTGGTGTTACGAAATTACGATGTCATTCTTTTCCTCTGCAGCAAGTTGAAGTTTATAGTCTCCAGTTCAGTTACAGAGGCATGCAACAATTCTGTCTTGCTTCTAGGTCCCCGTGGGTCCGGGAAAGTTGCCGTATGCTCTTTTACTTGTGTTTTTGTTGTGTAATATTTGTTAACAGCTGCAACTTTTATATGTAATATAAGAATGAAAAACTGTACCTTTTAGGTGTTGGAACTCGTTCTTGAAGATCTGCTTCTGGAATATCCTGATATGATTACTTTGGTACGCTCATTAATATTTCTATCTGCCAACTTCTCCTTGAAAATATTCCATATTTTTATGCATCGGACCATGCATATGTCAAAGAGCCATATTTGATGTGCTACACTGATATGAAAAGTCTGGTGGAGTTGTGTTTCAGATCAGATTGAATGGACTGTTGCACAGTGATGATAATAGCGCTCTCAAGGTATAACAATATTTGATGCTCTTTTGGCACCATTTGTTGTGTTTTTTGTTATATAGCTCTCTATGGTGGCAAGTCTTCTTTTATGTCGTTCAGTGTGGCTAGTAGCAATTGAAACAAGATATGTAGTCATTGATGTAGGAAGCATTCAACACTTCCATTTCACGATGATAAAGTCCTCAGTTTGAATTTTAGTAATATCTTGCATTTGTTCATGACTTTGTAAATAAATCACGTAAAGGAAAAAACTGATGATAAAAGGTGTGCCAAAATGGATGCTCAGAATTTTGATGGGGTACTTAGTGATTACAAAAGTATTGCTTTCGTAAAGGTATCTGGGGTATCAATATCACCCTTGGAAGTTAGAAAATTCATGTATGCCAAAAGGGTATTATAAGTAAAAAAATAAGATGGTCCAGCTTCTAATCTCTCATCCATTAACTGGAAGTCCTTACTCCTTAGAATGCATGATCTTTCCCCTTTTGTTAGTTGTCTATAGTGACCATCATATAATCCTTTGGGGCTAACCGGGAGAAAGTTTTTCCAGAGGCACCTTCACCAGTGATATTGCCATCATCTTCATGCACTACAGACAAATTTTGTGTCCTGTTCTTGCACAGAGATGATATACTTTTTATTTAACATTAGAATTCATCCATAGTTTGGTGTCCCTTAAATTTAGATAATACATCAAGTTATATGATATTTGTTTGTAGTAATGTTCTTTGTTAATAATTGATCTGTGCATGCTCTCTTCTCATAGAATTATATTCCTAAGCATGCCTTTGTTAAATAGCTTCTATCTATGGTTATTTCATTTTCTTAAGCAGTTTATCAGTTAATCATTTCAAATTGCTCCACATTTCTCATCCTTACTGTTTTATAATGATTACTGATCATGCAGGAAATTGCTAGGCAATTATGTGTAGAGCATCAGCTATTATTCTCAAAGATGGTAACTTGCATTCTCTAATGGGAATTTAGCGAATGATCATCTTAAAGTTTTGTGTTATCGTTTTGCAAAAGAAGAATCTAATACTTCTCGATTACCTTCTCAGGCTTCATCTGATGACAATTCCGAGTTCATGATAGCCATGCTGAGGTAAGTGTACAGTTATCTTCCAACGAGCTAATCATTAATTATCATGCTGAAATATTAAGTAGTTTGATATGCTCATCAGGGAGTGTGGCCTAGCACATAAAACAATCGTGTTTGTACTAGATGAGTTTGACCTCTTCACTCAGGTAATATGCAGCCAATTTTTGTCCATTTGCATCCTCATAGTTGATCTGGGCATTATTTAATTTCTATGTTAGAGTTGGCCCATGTGAGTTGGTAGGTTTTATTTTTCTTGAAGTGAAATCTTTGAATAGAGCATGACACACTTAGGCTAGTTTTTTGCAGGGGAAACAACGGCTCCTGTATGCGTTACTTGACGCGATGCAGTCAGTGACATCTCAAGCTGTAGTTATTGGTGTGAGTTGCCGACTGGTATGTCGTCATTGACCATCCATTCTTATTTTCTCTCAATGCATTTCCAATGTCTAAGAGTCAAGAAACACAGAGAGGGAGAGTTTGGAAGGGGATATGTGGGAAGAAAAAAAAGTAGTCAATCACTTAGGTTGCGTTGATATCGGTTGTGATTCCGGTGTCCTCTCTGTTTGCTTGAGATGGATTCATGCTCAACCTAACCATTCTTTTGTCATACAATGCTTTAAACTTGCAGGATGCTGACCAGCTGTTGGAAAAGAGAGTAAAGTCTCGTTTTTCTCATAGAAAGCTGCTATTTCTACCTCCATCCGAAGAAGATATATATAGGTAAATAGGCTATCTTTGAAACTAAATACCCTGTTGATCTTGACAGTTGGTACGACAAGTGGATTTCGACTTTGTGTTTATAAATTCATATGAAAAGGTTGAAGCTCTTCTATTGTTAGATAAATTTGAAATCGGAATGGCTGAAGAGTTAGCTTTTGGCATGACATGAGCTGTGGTGAAGCCCCTCTCAAATCTCTTTTTCCTACTTTATTGTCTGTGACGGCTAATAAGAATGTGATGGTATCAGACTATATGTCTTTGAAGGGTGAATCTGTTCTTTGGAATCCAATTTTCTTAAGGAGTTTTAGTGATTGAGAGCTATATTCGATTGACTCCTGTATTGATCTTCATTAGTTTGCTAAGGTTCATGGATCTGCCCATTGCACTTCCTCGTTGACTTGTCCTATTATAGGGGAAAGAGGAAGATAAGACAGTGGTATGTCTAATGGCAAGACCGTCAGCATTAAATTTTTTCGTTGTCTCTTGGCGAATTTCTCTTGTCCTTTCCCCTTGAAAGTAGAATTTTATCTCGTGTTCCGGTGTAGCTTTGAATAAGATTCATACCGAAAGTCGTAACTTCATTCTCACATTTGGTTTCGTATCTTTGTCCAAGCAGTCAGGTAAATCTGTTATCATCTTCTATTACTTGTGACTTGCTCTCACCCTGCAGAATCATATTATCAACTCTTTGAAGATTTTTTATTAACCAAATGCTATCCAGCTATTCAGTGTTGGAAAGGATTTTGGGACAATTTAATGTCAAAGAAATCTTTTATAGCTCTAAAAAGAAAACCTGAAAGAAATCTTGGTGCGTTGCACAGCTTTATCTATGTGGTGCATATGGAAGAACGTGAGAAAAGATTTTTGAGGGACTTGAAGCTTCTGTTGATACTTTCTTCTTTTTATTTGTCTCTGGTTATCCTCTGATCCTGTCTACTCTAATTGTTGTTTCATTTCTGTTTGTTTTTCTTTTTCTCTCTTTGCTCCTGTGCTTTCTGATTTAGTAGAGATTTCTTTTTTTGAAGAAATTCATTGTTGTATATAAAAAAAGAGATGTAGATAAGTTATTTTCTGTGCCTGATACATTGAAATTTGGAGCCACTTTCTATTCTGTGAGACCAGCACTTACAGTGTGCTAAATTCTCTCATCTTCTAGCTATGCAGGTTATTAGATCATGTCTTGTCTTTGCCAGTGGACCCAAGCCTTCCACATGACTATGCTATTGAATTTAATGCAAAACTACACGTATCCTTTTGCTAATTTATTTTCTTTTTCAGCAATGTGCATACCCATGTAGCAATGATAGAAAGATCGAAAATGAGGGACCGTGAGAGAAAATTTTCTGGTGTTGAATCCATTAATTGAATTTAGCTTGCAAAATTTTGGGTCCTGAATTAGAATTGAGAGTTAGAGACTGTACATATATATAGTTCAGAAAATGGAGAGTACGAGAGACAAATGATTTTGTGTGGGATGAGAGCATTGTTTTATCCATGCGTCTACTATAGCACATTGGCATGTCATATCTGTGTCTAAGGGCGAGTGGGTAGGTACATGGGTGCTCATGTATGCTCACTTCGAACTTGGTAACATCAATTTCACACTTACCATTTGGTGCTTAAAAAACAGGTTATTTATTTTGAATGATTTATTTCTCTTGGACAGTGGATCCATTTATCATATGAAAGTATGAGCTCATCTCGGTAGACTCGGTTTTATCAGTGAGGTATGGTTTTATTGGGTCTTAATTGTCGCTTGGATGGTTACTTTGTAGAGTAGGATGAAAACAAAGTAAAATTGAGTACAGAGAATTAAAGAAAGGCAGTTCGATCCATCAGTTTGGAGTAAACTTGCGGACATCATAGAATTTAGGTGTTGGCTGGATCATGTGTAGGAGCATTTCCTTGACATCACTTGTTAACAGAAAAATAGGTGGAACTAAATCTCTATTTGTCGTGGGAGTTGTAAGGCTTTGATTACATTCGCAGTGGTGACTGTTTTTTTAATCTTTTGGGGTATCCCTGCTTAGGCATAGCGAACTTAAATCTATGCGTTAACATCACATGGTAACACTTGGCTATCTGTATCTGTGAAATTTCATTGTGCAGTAACATCTGTTGCATGGTCATGCTCTAGCATTGTTACGCTCATCCTAACATTTCAAGGATGTCTAGCCTTTTATAGATATATAATTAGCCACCCCTCGATAACCTGGCAGTTAGCTCAGTAGTGTGAAGAAGCATCATTTAATGTAAATGAAAGCTTTCTGCATGCAACATCTACCTTTAGAGGTTCTAAGTTCTGGTATACATTCTAAAAGTGTATATACCATTGACTCGTGAGTCAACTTATCTTCTGAAAGGAATATTTTGTCTCTAATGCGTTTTGAGGGTCAGAGGCCTTCTCATACTTTGCCTTGTGGATTGCTTGGAAGTTCCTCACTTGAAAGGGAAGGATTCAGTGCATACTTTCTCATGAAGCTTAGAGGAAATAGGATCATTTTTAAAGTAATTCCTTAAATTATACTCCAGAGTATGTTCTCAGATGAAAGGTTCCGGCAAGTCATCGATTCTTATATGAATTTCAGTCCCACTGTTCGGCACTTGGTGAAGTACCTGTAAGTTCCCTGCAGCAATTGTGTGCTGCAAACACTTGCGCTTTATCTATCTGTTAATTTTCATTTGAGGGCCTTATTGAAGCCACTGAAATCAGATTCCGGGCTGTCTCTGATATGGATTTGAAGTTGGGTTATTTATCATTCGAGAACTTCAAATCTGCAATTTCATGTTTGCAGAGGCAACCGAAAATGGAATGCTTAAGAGGTACAGATGTGTTAGCAATCTATTTTGTCAAACCAATATTGATTCATGTGTCATTTTATCCTCAAAGCATGCAATTTGATGTTGTACAGTACTGGCATTTCTCCAATAATAGGATGATGGTGTTGCTATTAATTCCGTCAATCTCAAGCCAAGCAAATAATATTCTCTATATAATGCTTTATACATAAAATTATGATACAGAGATGTAGGTAAATTATCAAAGAAATGAGTGCTTCCTAATAAAATATTTGCATTGGCTCAAATTTTCCATCTAGTTGGTCCTTCAATACCCATAAGTATGGCGGCTTTTGGCATCCTTGGTGTTGGCAACTTTTTTTTCTGTTGCTAGTTTTATGGCTTGTGTATTGAGACGTCTCTATTGCTAGTGAAAATGCTTATTGACAAACATCATTTGACACTCTGGTAACATGCTTGACACTTAAAGGAACAAAAGACTGTCTTTCTGCACCCCTTTTAACCCCTCCTCTAGAGCCCTCTCACTGTGCCGGAAATTATGTTATATCTGTCTTTTCTCTTTCATATATGTGCATCCACCGTCTTGTCTGTCTTTCTGAATAATAAGCAAGTATAACTTTCTTTGCAGATTGCTCCATACTGGAACTCTATATTCTTGTTTGCATGAAGAGGTTGGAAGTGAAAGAACAGAATTCTTACAGCTTCAGTGCTGTCATGAAAGGTCATTATTGATGTTTCTTGTGGGTTATGTGATTTTTATCCATAAATATTCTTTTTGTGAATGATTTACGTGTTTGCTGAATACTGCAGAGTACAAAAGCATTCATGATTCATTCCAGACGTCTGACTATTACAGTCAAGATGTGTGTCTGCGGGTAATGTCCATTTGCAAAGGTTTTCTTTTTTTGTATTAACAAAATTATAGTGTATAGAAAGGTAAAACATATTCAGACCCCTCAAATTCTGTTGGCAAAAGTCGAAAAGACAGAATCTATGCCTTAACATTATGTTGGTTATTATTTGAATTCAAATGATGGTATGTTAATCCCTCAGTGCCTAGACTATGGTATAGTTTTTTTATCCTGACCAGTAACTATCTTCTGTCTTGGCGGAACTGCCACTTTAGAGTGTATTTCTTATCCACAAGCTCCAGCAATTGTCCTCTTTTCTTTGTTCTTCCATAGTGCCACTCTTTTGATCCCCTTTCTCTTCATCATATGTCAACCGAGTTTGCATGCTTCTGATCCCCTTTCTCTTCTGCCATTAGGTACGTTAATACAATTGTTAGAATGATTCAGTCACTATCATCAACATCTCCATTCATATTCCATTCAGTTGATGGACCCTAGAGTTTTGTGGTTTGCAAAGGTTAATTATTGATCCAATATCACAGATCTCCATTTTAACATTTCATCAAGTGATGATTGTGTTGCAGCTGCCACTAAAATTTTGAAGGAAAAAAGAGGAGCAAACAAGTAATTGCCATTGATGAGTGGCTGTTTATTTCCCATATCTGCTGTGCTTGGAAGTAGTTTGAGTGGACATTGAAGTTATAAGAGCTAAATCTGAATTCTGTAGGACCAAGAAGGTTGTATTTGGTCTTCCCTGTATCCATGTTCAAAATTGAGGGAAGTACTGAAGGAGCATTCAATGTTTTTGAAGCAAAATGATTGGTTCAATTGGAGAAATTTTGAGTGCTAAATGGACTAGAGTCTAGAGTGCTAACCCAATATATAACTGTCCTAAGTTATGTGATAATGACAGTTAACTCGATTATTGGCTTGAAAACCTGGTGAGTGATGACTAAGGCAGTTCCTGCAGAATCCTTGGGAAGGAATAAGAAGCCACTCCACGGGCTGTACACATTCATTGTCTGATCCCATTTTCTGTGCTCCACTTGCTTCGGCATGCACCATTAGAGTACTAGACTTCCACCATTTAACCTTTTCTCTTTCAGACATTCTCTCCCGCTAATAAAGAGAAGCAATTATTGCAGAGCTGAGCTTACATTTTCTGAAGAATATTTTTTAATGCTCCAGTACATATTACTTGATTGCTGTTTGCTCTATGTTTGATGCTGGATCTACCGGTACCAAACAACTGATGTTGAGAATTTTCAGCATCTTAAAGACATCGAAATTCACTGGCAGGTTTGGCTAGTAAATAGTAGAGCCCTGTTGAAAAGGTCGCGTACAAGATTGGAGAATGTAACTGACCACCTTCTGTGTGTGATCAACCTGACTTGGTTTATGCACTAATAGGCAGCGGCTGAGAGTAAAGGAGGATTCCGTCCCAAAAAAAAAAAAGAAGAGTAGAGGAGGATGGAAAGTTTCTATGAGAAGAGAGGATGAGAACCTGTTACATCACTGTAATGTGCAATCAATAATGCCTCGTAGCTTGAATAGGCCCAAGGATTCTGTTGTGTATCCACGAGTTCTTCCCTGACATTAGGGGGTCCGCTGTGTTTTTTTATTTGCAAGTTAAATGACAGTTGTCTTGTGGCGCGATAATTACTGTAAACATTTAAAAGCAGAAATATGATTTCTCTAACATATATGTCCGAATTTCTGCAGGCATTTGAGCACGTTCTACAACGCGGATTAGTTTGTTTTGCGGATGGCAGAGGACGTATTCAGTCTACTGAGTTTCGCCCCATGAAACTTCTTATCTCATTTGCAGAGCTCAGCCAAGGCCTTAAAGCGCATCATTCATGTCCTGTAAGTTTTTCCCTTGGGACAGTGCCCGCATTACCGTTTGGCAGAGGCTATTTTATGCTTCCAGAGAAGCAATTTATTGGACCCTCATATAGTTTATACATAAATTTTCTTTTGAAGTGCTATTTCATTCCATCTTTAAGATCTATTTACGAATCATTAATCCCGTATTGGCAGGCCATTCTTCAGAAATTAGCATCATAATGAGCAGCGGGTCAAAACTGTTTCATGTGCATGAGCACGACCAGTCGAGATGTCAATCTGCCCATTCCATCTTGATTCGGCTTGGTGATTCACTTTCGTTAGCCGAAACTAAAGTGCAATACACAGAGATAAAGGCACATTTTCTTTTGATTAGCTCTAATGCTTGATGCCATCTTAATCTGGCTGTTGGCAGGTTCACCATCACATCTCTTCTTTCGATAATTATTTAAGAGCATTGTAGAAATTGTGGAGAAACATTTCATACCAAATAGAGAGATCGATCGATTGGTACTTATGCGATGACTCGATCGGGATAAAGTTGGAGCTTTGCTTTTTCTACCCCTCCTGTTTCAGAATTTAGTAAAGGTTTAGATTTATAAGTAACTGCTTTTAACCACCACGTCAGTAATTTTTCCGAGGACTCTGAGTTTTAGTCCGCCAAGGGAAAACTGATAGCATGCATAGATTTATTAGCAATAACACCGCCACTATCAACACCAAATTACTAATCAACACAATTATGGCCCAGACATCCGTCCTTTCCCTTGCTTCTTGCCGGGGAATCTTACCCTTCGTGCAATTGTTAGCACTCATTACTACACGTAGTTCGGCAGGGTCGTTTTTTACTATAATAATCTCGTTCTGCATGTTAGCCTTGGCTTCCTTCTTATCGCCGTCTACTCGAGCATTCTGATGTGAACCTTCTCTTTTAGCCCAACGAGATTACTCTACCATTCAAAGTATCCACAATCATCATCCTGCAAAACAAACACTGGCGCATAAATAATCCTAGCAAACTGCAGATTTGAACCTGCCTTGATGGCATAGTCGATGCCTTCCATATCAAAGTTGCTGAACTGTAGCAAAATAGGAAATTTGAAAAGACTCGTGTTTACACAATTAAGAAAAGTGTGTTTGGAGAAGGTCGCTGACTTGGAATCAAACCAATGGCTAACTTAGGATAATCATCAAAAAGAAGATCCATTGATTGCTAATTTTCTCCTCTGCTTTCAAGCAACTCGCCTCCAGCCCCCTCCTTCTCCTAGTCTGAGCATACAACTCCAAGGATGATTTTTTGCAGTTTCAGCAGCCAGATTTGGAATTTAAGCTTTGATATGGAGAAAGTGAGATGAACATGATTAGACTTACTCGAGTAACATGCGATAAAGCAAAATTCCAGGAAATGGGCTGAATCAGGAAAGAAGCAGAATACGGGAAAAGAACGACCAAGGAGCTTCCTCTGTATGATAATAACTAGCAAGGAAGAAAGTTTGCCATGGACGAAGGCATGGTACATGATATTAGGTACAGACAGAGAGACCTCTCAAAATCTGGCATGATCGCTACAGAGAAGCTGCAAGCTACGAAGTTGCCATCAACCCATCAAAGTGATGTTGTCATGGCTTCATTACAAACAGGCAAAAACTGAAAATGTGATGCAAACAAAAAAGGAAAAAGGAGGAGGAGAAGAAAAACAAATGAATAAATGACGCAAGCACAAACTGTTGTCTACATATAAACGTATACCATGTACTTACTCACTATATTTATTATGCATTGATCTTTAATATTTTTTCATTGTACTTGCTTATATACCTTTCATATGTGGTGGAGAAGACAAAAAGAAGAAGAAGACATGGATCGGTCAAATTTAGGCTAATAACTCAATTGGTTGTGAAAGTGAAATTATATGATAATCGCATAAAACGTTTCGAGGGGATAATTTTGTTATGAAAAGATGATGCTTATAAACAATTTTGTTCCAAAAAGCATGATGCATTGTAAAAATTCGACTTACCACATTTTACGAAGATGCGACATTTGAAGTTATATATTTGAAAAGTTACAAATCTTCAAAATCAATGCATCCCTTAATTTTGTTGGTCTTTAAATTGCACCAAGGAAGCTCGACCATTACCAAAAATCCATATTATTAGGAACCAAACTTGTCCATGTCCCAGGTTGTTTGGCCGATGGTTTGTACCGTGCATTCCGGTTGTAATAGTAATCTTTTCGTAGGTAGGTCGATTCCACGTGGCGGAGAACCATTCGCTGCTTTCACGTGGAGGCTTTAATTAAATAAATAATTATTTAATAAAACTGGAAAAGGCTGCGAATTTTATAGTACTCCTCCTAGTCCTGATCAGAATTCGATAGACTCAACTCTCCTTCGATTCGATTTCGTCATCGTTCGTTCAAAGATTGTATTTTTCAGCAACCCTTTTGAGAATTTCAATCCGTTCGTCGTCGGAGGGTTCTAATTCTCGTATTCTTGATTGACGAGGTAATTTCTTGGTGTTTTCTTTTGTTTGTTTATCTTGGCTTTCGTTTTTTTCTTGCGCTAGCAAATCTCTTCGATTCCTCTTTTCGGTGATTTGATGACTTCCCCTACGTCGAATTTGGCAGATTCTTGGGTTTTTTCTTTTCCCCCTGGCGTGTTGTAGATCTGTGTTTTTACTGTTTCGATGCTCTGTGCATTCAGATTCTTGTTTCCTTGTGCATGTGATCTGGGTTTGAGTAACAAGAACGTTTGGCTTTAATGGTGAATCTGGGTCGTGAGGTTTTGGGGTCTGGACAATGTTAGCAGAGAGTAGCTGTTTCTGTTCTGAGCATGTTATATGGCGAATTTGTTGTCGTAGAAAGATTTGTGTTTTGTGTTTATAAGTAGTTAATGGACTTGCTGCCTCGCCGATTTAAGCTACAATTTCTAGTTTTGTCCTCTTTTTTAGCTGAGCAATTTCCTTTTTGCATCGATTGACAAGTGGTCTATCATGGCGGTGATCTTTGGAACGATGATGGAGAGTTCAATTTGGAGATGGCCTTGGGCTAGAATTCATCCCGTGCTGATTATTTGCGGGGTTACCATAATTTTTAGAAGTAATTGCAAAGTCTTTCTATTAAAAGTGGGTGAAAATGTTCTGATTGGTGATCATGCATTGTAAGGTTCCAGTTTCTTTTCCAGTGGATCCATGCATGAGTTTTCAGACGGGGTGTGTTCTCAATCTGATAGGGCCTCCCTCCTTCCGTCTTCCTTCTAGGGCTAATCTGCTATTCCATTGTTCTAGAGTCAGTAGGCGGGGTTCCCTTTTTTGTTTCTTTCAGTGGTGAGGTTGACCATTGACTTCTTATTTGTGTCAAGAATTGTCACCCTTATGATGGCTTTTAATTGAGAATTAGCGAAAGTTACAAAAGCTATTGTCTTAGGTAGCTCTGGTCCTCAATACTGTGGGGTGCTCTCGATAGTAGTTGTGCTGTGCTGCTTTGTGTAAGGAGAGAGATAGGGCAGGGAAGAGAGTGGGAGAGGGGTCTGGGTGTAGATTTTGGATATGCACGAGGATCAATGCTTTTTAGGTTGAAGAGATGCCGAATGTAGGTTTTAAAATGCGAGGAAGGGATTTAATATGGAGAGCAAAGTTGAGCATGATTTTTGCAATTATCCCTAAGAATAATGCGCTATAGAAATCTCATAGAGGAATAGGCCTGTTTCCCTTTGAAAGCAAACTTCCAATCCATGTTAAAAAGGACCAGCCATTAGTGTACCATTCCGCAGGCATATACATTGAAAGGATGTAAAAACAAAATTGGAGTTCAAAAGATTGGTTTCAAGTTATGTAGATTAAAGTGGTTGACTTGTCAAGTAGAAAACACGGAAAGGTCATCGCCATAGGAGAGGTACTGGTTTTTTTTTTTTTTATGTTATTAACTCTTGGTTGCGGGCACAAAGCCTCTAACAAGTCCAAATTCCATCTCTGTCCATTTTGACTAAAAGTCGTTTTTAATCTTAATTTCTTGGAGACCATAAGATTTGAGTTTGAAATTAAGATTAAAGGAAATACTGGGCTGGCCCCGCCTTGTTAGGACTCGTTTCTTGCTAATAGTCTTTTGTTCGATTGATCTAATAATATTTAGCTATCGTATGTTTCTATGATTTTCTGATATCACTGATTCTTTCTTTTGTTTTCAATTTTTTTTGGGATTCGGTTTTTTATTGTCGAATAAATGGTAGATATTAATTGTTGTCCCAACTATCCAGCAACTTAAAACTTTAGAAATAATTAGCTGTCTAGGTCATAACAGGGCTGCTTGTCCTTGTTTTGAATCCTAATGCCTTATTTCCTGGTTTGCTTCGAACCTACTCATGGTTTTGTTGTCCTCCACTGCTATTTCAACCCCATCTTGGATTTCACGTGTAAAGCTGATTTACAGGAATTGGAAGGGTTAAAAAAGAGGTTTGTAACTTTGAGCTTGTGGAATCTATGTAGATGTCTGCTAGTTTCAACTTATCTTATTGGGTTAGTCTGTGGTCTAGTCCAACAATTACGGATATGGTCCTGTATGTAATCTGGATTGTTGGATCAGAAAAGAAAAAAATTTCAACCGTCAGATGGTTTCCAGGAGATTGTACTTACGGATATTTAAGGAAAATTACTGACTATAAAATTGCCAATGCTACTATTGATCGAGGAAGATTATGACATGAGGACAATTACTCACCTATAGAACCTTCAAGTTTACAAAGTGTGAAGGATAGAAAAAACAAGATTTACGATATACTCAAATTGATTACGATTGATGAAAAGTTACAAATATTAGGATATTCAATCGTATGAGACTTTAAGGTAAATTACTACATGTGAAGGGATGGTTGCTGACTACTCATTTACAAGGACTTATAGGACAATTTTGAGGTATGTTATTGGTTAGTTACTAAGTATTAGCATATTCATGTTATGAAAATAGTGTCCATCATGATAAATTACTAGTTACAAGGTAAACAAGCTAAGACCATTACAAGTAAGTTATGATCCATAAAGTTAAACTACTACCTATGAATGCAATCGATTTAATGATAGGTTCAGGATTTATGGCTAAAATACAGGACTTGTCCGGATTTTGTGCTTATGGGACCCTAGAAGCACCCTTGTGTTAATTTGTTCTTGTATGCAATAGCCCCAGCATTGTATTGATAATAAGGCATGTCATGATGAATGCTGAACTGAGACTTGGTTGTCAAGTGTTCCAGAGGTCTGGCTTCTTGAATGAATGGATTTTGGAGAAACAGTTTTTTATATTTTCTGTGACTTTTCCAGAAATGGCTTTAACCGGACCAACTCCGCCCAGAGGAAGTGCAGCTGCCGCCGCAAGCATGCGGAGGCGTAGGACTGCGAGCGGTGGGCCCTCCGGAGGAGCAACTGGGACCATGCTCCAGTTCTACACGGATGATGCTCCAGGACTGAAGATTTCTCCAAATGTCGTCCTTGTGATGAGTATTGGCTTCATTGCATTTGTCGCAATTCTTCATGTCATGGGTAAGCTCTACTTTGTCCGTAGATAGGCCCAGAAGGCTGAAGCAGCTGTTTAAAGGGGTCCAAGTGCTACGTTATTAGTTCTAGTTCATCTACGGAATTAGCTAGTGGCAGTAGCTGTGAGTTGGATTGTAAGAACCCAGAAAAGTTCCCCTAGTTACCGTCAAGGTTTTGAGATACATAGTTTTAGTTTCAATTTGTCATGGGGCAAGATTCAGCCCCAACCGTGTAACTCCTGAGAAGTGTCTCTCAATAGTATGACATTGAGGTTTTCTGTTTCTCTTTGTCCTGAATTTTGTCTGTGAATTAAAAAATCTTTTGTGATCAGGTTTTGGATGTTACTCATACGCCGGTGTTCTCATGTTGCTTTGACGCGCATCTTTGATGTGGACAGTGAAGCGGAAGGCATTGATTATGATTGGCAATTGTTTGCACACCCACCCTGCTTATATGATATTCTTAAGTACAAGGTTAAATGAGACAATTTATAGAAACCCTTCGATATCTTCTGGACCTTACAACAGAAAACTAAAAGCTAATCATCAGATATTCAGCCTCGCCTTTTTAAACTTTTGTACATCTTAAGCAGTTTGGCAACTTCGATCGCATACGCCTCGCCTCTTGGTTTATTTATTTAACAGATTCATTTATTTACTTCTCCTGTTCCATTCGCCTCTTGGTTTATTTATTTAACAGATTCATGTATTTACTTCTCCCGTTCCGTTCCTGGACCCAGGCGATAGGTAATCTAGGATGTCTGGTAAATAGGTAATCTAGGATGTCTGAGTTTACCACTCGCATTAACGTAATTACCGTGCTGCGAATACAGGAGACGAAAAAGCTTTTTGTAGGAGCTGGCTGAACACAGAAGAGGACTAAGATTACAGGAGGATCAGTGTATTCTAGACTACAAGACATATTTCTTAGGACCAACCTCGTTTTTTCAGAAAATACTGCCAAAAAGTGTTATAACCAACTCCAAAGTAACATTTGCAGAAAAATGGGTGCTTCAATGTCATTTTCAGGGAAAAATAAAGAATTCAAGTGCTCTAATTCTTGTGCCAATCACATTCTCAAGCTGAATGTGTATTTCTATTTGTGCTGCTTTTGGAAGGTGCTTCGTGATTCTGAGTCGCCCAGATTAGAGCAGTTGCTCCTAGAGAAAAAAAAAACTGAGTGCTGAAATGAGAACGTTTCCCACTTACGTAAGATAGAAATCTGTATACAATCTCTTCTATTCTGCTTTCATTTTATGCTATAGAAGATAAATCCAGGTTAGACATCCTAAGCTTCTACAATTTTGATTCTGAATAACAAAGATGCAAGACTAACACGCACAAGCTAATGACCAGAAAAAAAGATTGGTATGGTGCGGAATGTTTTCTTGCAACTTCTTTTCAAATAATTCATAACTACTCGGGAGGTTCCCGCGCAAGACAAATAAAGCTTTGCTTGACATATTCACAGTGCACTAAGATTCTGTTCATTGAAGAAGTATGGAATACCAATAGAAATGGCAAAGGAGAAAAGTGAAAGCGAACTGTCGGTAAATTAACCAAAGATTGATCCTCCATGGGTATCATCATTTTGTCAATCCCCCCAAAATTATGTCAGATGATGCTCGTGAATCTTCGCATTGACAAAACTAAAGCCTGTTTTCCCTCCCGCGACATTCACCTTAGGTGAGAAAAGTCTGTTGTTTCCGTTCTCCCTTGTGCTCATTCCCATGTACATTCGGAAACTGCCAGGGCGGGCTTTTAACTAGAAAGGTTAGATGCACTGACTCGTACTATCCGTCGTTTGAGTTCGGATTTGGTCCTGGACTTGAAAAGGCCTGGGCGTTGACGGTTTTCTCATTTCCCATGTCTTTGGTTTTGTGAAGAAGAAATGTCCCGGAGAGTATAGTGACGAAACCGCACAACTCAGTCACAATTTGTGATGCATTTTGTGAATCCCAGTCCTGCATTCCCAAGCATACCAAGGGAAAAGAATAAGGCAAATCATCACCGCTTAAAATGCTGAAAAAGCACAATGGCGGATATGCATTATCGCACAATAATGTCAAGGACAAATGGAAATAACAAAGAATATGCATCTCTCTAAATTGTATAGACCAAAGTTTCTCTGTGTCAAGATCTGCATGCTGGATCACAAATCCATTCAATCCTTGTGCAAATAATAAAAATTTACAGACCTGGCTGTTGAAGCTTGTGCTCAAAAGGTTAAGATCGAACAATTTAAGAGATACTGGACTATAAAATACCCGATTGAAGTTTAAAAAGATACTGCTTCTGTATTTTTTTGAAGCAACACTAGAGCTTCTTTTGGGATTATTTTAGGCTGAATGCATGTATCAATATAACAATGTATTATTTTCATATTTCCACGAAGGTCAAATTCGCCATGTGGACAGGGATTAAGTCAACATGCATTTTCTTCTACTAAAACGCAAACAATGGTAAGTCTTATTTTACCTTAAACATGATCATGCTGGCAAGGATGGTGAAAGTCGTGAACATCACATAGTACACTGGAGATATTACAGCAGTATTGAAGGTGTCAAGCGCCTGTCAGAAGAAACTTTTTGAGTTATATAAAAGAAAATCAGGACCAATCGAGAGAACAAGCAACAAATGTGAAAAAGGTGATACTCTTCCCCATGCATTAGACTTAGGTCCTTCATCCAATCAAATCTTAGATTAACTTAGTAAAAGGTGGGTGGGTGTAAAATCTAAAATTAACTGAGATGTCTTCATGAAAATTTCCTTCTTTCTTGATTGATAGATTTACAACTTACCTTGTTCAAGAAGTTGATCTGCATGAGACTAAAACAGATGACGACTATAGTGAAGAACCATGTCTGGAAGTAAATGAATTGGTTCGCTCCTGAAAATGTGAGCTTCAGGGCGATGCCCAATGCTTTAACACTCATCACCTGCAGAAAACAGTGAAGTTCATAGCGGCTTCGAGAAATAAATGTAGCTAGACTTTGAAAGATAGTACACTGACCGTTAGAGAACCCATGAGAGAGCAAATCCCAATATAAATCATCATATTAGTAGGTCCATAACGTGGTGCATAGCAGAAAATAAGAACACCAACCACGATGAGAACTACAACAGTATACACGATAAAACCTGTCACCAGAAGAGAGTTTCTTTCAGCACAACATCCTCAAGACATTCAAGGAGTTTTACTCAAAATCTAAAGGGTACTTGTTTCGACTGGACTGATACCTGGCTGGGTGGCGAGGCGCCACACTTGTTTAACGGATTCAATGTCTCTTTCCTTTGGAGCGTGTAAGACAATGCTTGTGGAACCCACCACACAAAGAACACATCCAAGGACACCAAAGATGTGCAATTTCTCCTCCAAGATAAAATGGGCAAGCACTGCACTGCATCATGGTTTTTAAGATCGGTCATCGCTGAAAAATAACAGCTTATAGAATATTAAATATGTTGATTTTCTTATTTCTTGTAGATTTAGAGACAGCTATCCTACTTAGTTGACAATTTCAACATCAATACCTGAAGATGATACTCAGTGCTCCCAAAGGCGTAACAAGAATCGCAGGAGCGTATGCATAGGCAGCGAAATTGGCAATCTCCCCAACAATCACTGCCAAAGATGTAATGAAGCAATTAATTTAAGCATTGGATCCTTGAAGCTACGGGAAAAAGAAAAGTAATTGAACTTAGCATTACAGGAAAGAGAATTAAAGCATTGGATCCTAGAAGCTATCTGAAACCTGCAGTTGAAGATTGATCTATTGGTAACAAGAAGAAGAAAAAACAGGAAGACATGTCCCAGGAACAGGCAAGAATCAGGCACGAAAAAGAAAAGCAATTGTACTTAGCATATTACAGGAAAGAGAATTTAAGCATTGGATCCTAGAAGCTATCTGAAACCTGCAGTTGAAGATTGGTCTACTGGTAACAAGAAGAAGAAAAAAACAGGAAGATATGTCCCAGGAACAAGCAGGAATCAGGTGAGAAAAAGAGAAGTAATTGAAATTAGCATTACCGGAAAGAGAATTTAACCATTGGATCCTAGAAGCTATCTGAAACCTGCAGTCGAGATTGGTCTATTGGTAACAAGAAGAAAAAAAAAAGAGGAAGACGTGTCCCAGGAACAAGCAAGAATCAGGTTGATGGGCTTGATGTACCAGCGGCACAAAAGACTATCGCTCTCTCTGACTCTCTGTGAGTGAACCCGTGTGCGGGCGCACGATCATGTGCTCTGGCTGTAATGGATGATTGCAGACCCAAAGACAATTTAAATCCTCAAATCCATCACCATAAGAAGGCTAAAATCCAGGGAGCATAAGCTACTCAGAGTTGTTATTTTCCGAGGTAGTGCACCTTCCATATGATGGAATTTGACGAACCCACCAACAGATTCCACACTCAAGCAAAAGCTATTGATGTTTAAGATTGCATGTCCAGCCCAGGTCTCTTCTCACCGGATTTCATTTGTCAGAGAGCAACAAAGGCACAGGCAAATCCTTTTACCACATGAATAGCCAAAAACAAATATACTGTCACTTGAATAACAATCGCATGCAGAATTCTCCATGTCCTAACAAAACATGCTCAATGTATCAAACAGAACCAGAACGCTAGAACTTACTGGTTATCATTCCTACCCACCACCAGGGTTCATATAAGTACGAATAACCTCCCGAACCTGTAAACGGGCAGAAAATTATCAGACGACAAGGGAAAAAAAAAAAAAACTTTATCACCCGAAGCCATCTATATCAAATACGCCCACATCAGGGCATTGAAAAGATTAAAATGGACTCTATTCTTTTTCCATGAAAACCATCGAAATTCCTGGAAAATCAAGCTAATTCAATGAGGAAAAAGAAAAAAAAAAAAGAACCTGCTCTGACTCCAGTTATCCCAGCTTTCTTCAACCCCTTTTTCTTGACAATGAAGCTAGAACCGATGAAAACGCTCGACGAGAGGGCCAAAACAAGTCCGTGCACGTTATCAGATGACATGCCCATTGGAATGGCGACACAGGGAAATATAAAGTTCCCTCCTTTACAGGGCCAAAATCAAGAAGACACCAAGAAATCAAATCCCTGCAACAGACCCATCAAAACCACGATGAGAAATTCACGTTCTTGAAACCCACACGCACGTGCAATTCATCCATGCTCACGTCACACGTCTACAATACCTGAGAGAAAAGAAAAAGAGAGAGAGAGAGAACATATAATTCAATCCAGGATGAGGAGGAGGAGGCTGCCTAAAAGCCAACCTCCATCTTTTGCATCAAGGGTGTGATTTCTCAGTGCCAAATTATGACAAGAACGACGGCGCTCCTTCTCCCTTCGATGGTTTCGTCGTCAGCAGGCTTACTACGTTCATGGGCGATGAAAAAAGAGCCGATACTACGAGATCACCACGGAGAGAGAGAGACAGAGAGAGACAGAGGGAGAGACAGGGAGAGAGAGAGAGAGAGAGAGAGAGAGAGAGACAGAGACGGGGAGAGAGGGAGAGAGAGAGGCAGTCCGTTACAAATGGGGTGGAACAAAGAGAAGAAGAAGGAGAAGAAAGGAGAAGAGGAGGCAAACGAAGAATAGAAAAGGATGGCACAAATTAAGGTGGCCACCACATCTTTCCGTTCGTTGTACGATTTTTAGCGAAGCTCTCAGCTTTCCCATGTTGCGATGACGTGAACAGGAACTGGGTGTCAGTCAATTACAGCAACGAACCCCCGCCCCCCAAAAAAAAATAGATGAAAAAGAGAGAAAAATACAAGAAATTCGTGTGCGTTTTTGGTTTTGTGCACCGGACACATTCGAGGAAAGTAACGTTTGACTCGTCGAAAAAGCACAGAAAGGGAGAAGAACGCGGTTGTATGATCCAGATATGGTAAATTCGCAATTCAAGGTATGAGAATCTTTGAGGGTCCATTTTAGGTGCATAGTTTCGTCGTAACATTAATACTACGAAAAATTCCAAATCGGTACACCGATGACAAATTTATCAAAAACTAATTTTTTTACCACAAAAAATCACAAATTGGTACATCTATGATAAATTTACCCTCTGTTAGTTTCCGTTAAATTTTACTGTCAAATTGATAAGTAAAATGACACGTGGCAATCGACAGATTTACCAGTTTTGAGTTTTGTTCTCCGTTTGTCACAAGTGTACTAGTTTGTGTTTTTTTTTTGTATTAATCCAATTTAATGGAGTGTAAATTTGTCACAAATGTACCAGCTTGGAGTTTTTTATAGCCAAAAAATTAATTTTGGATAAACTTGTCACACGTATACCAGTTTGGGGTTTTTCGTGGTATTAACCCTTCATTATATTGCGTGACAATGGTCGAGATTCGATGCCCTAAAATCAGTTTGTGGAACGGGGATTGCCGAGTAGACATCATCTTTCTCTTTGTCTTACACGTTAATTGATTGGCGTAATTGAGTATTTGTGTTTAAAAGTTACGGTAAACAGTCGGAAGACCTCTTATGCCATTACGAGTAAAGATGCATACGCATTGTGTGTAGGCAGAATTCGACATTTAAAAGGTTTTACAAGCTCGCTTCGTTATGAAATACTTGGATGATCATTTGATGGAAGACCTCTTATGTTCCAATTGGGCCGGTGGTTAATCTACCATTTCGTAAATCAAAATATCATATGTTGAGGTGATTTCATCTTGATAATCAAAGTAGCAAAGGTAGATTTTAACCAGAGCACGGCGAGTTAAGAAAACGGACAGAGTCTAAGTTTCAAAAGGCGAACTCTATAGAGAGATTCCGCGTGAAACATCCGCAACAATACAAGTAATTTCAACAAAAACTACACCAAACAGCCGGCGGCCCGGGGAGCCGCAGCCGCCGCCAGCTACCGCCCCTCGGGTTCGCCTCCGCCGACGATAACCATATCTCTAACACCCCTAATATACCATTTCGAAGGTTGATCCACTTTCTCCTAAACTTTCTAATCTCCTCCTTTTCTTTAATCGAAAACCTTTCTACTCATTTTAAATTAGGGTTAGGTGTGGATACAACTATCAAACTTCGATATTCACTCACGTTCCATTTCCTTCTCCACACGCATGAAACATCTTCGATTGATTAAAAAAGAACTCCTATGTATCGTGGGGGGATATCCTCTTTTGCCCTTTCGAATCTTTTGCCAATAGGAAGACAAACTAGAGAACTTGCGCTCTCCAATCGCGTGGGAATGCGCGCAAACGCAAGCAAACCGAAGAGCCCCACTTCGCAATCATGTTCTTCTTCTTCTTGGTTAAACTCCTGGGGGGATATTCCATGATACCTATGAAGTGAAGTCCGTTTCTCAAAGTTTCCTTCGTACTCAGGTGTTTTTTGTATCGGAGTATCCGTGAAGATGATGAGCACTTTGACTCGTTAATTTCCTGAATTGACGTCGGTTTCTCTGAATGCCGCCGAACTTGAATTTGTTTCAGAGTACCTCGTGAACTTGATCACTCTCGCTCAGGGACAATTACTAAAAAAGTCATAGACATATTGCATTCGTGTCAATTCAGTCCTAAACTTTTCAATTTGGCTAATTTAGTCCTAAACCTTTTGACAACTTGCCAATGTAGTCCATCCGACCAATTTTGGCCGGAATCAAGATTTTTCAAAATTGATGATGTATTCATGAAATTGGATTTAAAATAAGACTAATGACTATTTTTATGGAATTTTCTGATTCCATTTGCTATTTTTCTTGATTTTCTCACCTATTTTGACTAAAAGAAATTAAGGAAAAAATGCAGAAAAATGCTAAAAAATTATTTTTTGGGTTTAGAAATAGGTTTCAAGGCTTGGCCAAGATTCCTAGTCCTAATTTTGAAATTTTTTAAAACATGAAAAAAAAAGAGCTAAAAATTAAGTGTCAACAGCTGCCCCTATTTGAGAATGAGCTCGGTAGAGGTTGATTTCAAAGACAAGGTGACACTTGAATTTTTAGTTGACTCACTGAACAAGATAAGATGAAAATTTCTCAACAACTGATTAGGGTCTTGCTTTTGAAATCCATGATGTAATCCAGAGGTTCTCTTTTCGGAATGCATTTTGAAAGATTCTTAATGATTGAGGGAGAGAAACTTACTTGTTTGTGAGAGTTTCTTTGTTGCTTATCCAAGGGCATGAATTGATGGCGGTGATGATTATAATGGTTTTTCTGATTTCGTAGTTTAAGGATAAACTCACGAACCATGAACGCCTGAGGCTCTTCGCCTGAGAATTTTGGAGACTTGCCAAGTGGTTCCTCACCTGTAGGATTTTGGAAATTGCCTAGAGGCTCCTCGCCTGTAGGACTTTGGATTTGCCTAGTGGTTCCTCACCAGTAGGACTTTGAATTTGCCTAGGGGCTCCTCGCCTATAGGACTTGAATTTGCCTAGGGGCTCCTCACCTGTAGGACTTTGAATTTGCCTAGTGGTTCCTCACCAGTAGGACTTTGAATTTGCCTAGGGGCTCCTCGCTTGTAGGACTTTGAATTTGCCTAGAGGCTCCTTGCCTGTAGGACTTTGAATTTGCTTAGGGGCTCCTCGCCCGTAGAACTTTAATTTGCCTAGGGGCTCCTCGCCTGTAATTTTGAATTTGCCTAGGGCCTCCTCGCCTGTAGGACTTTGAATTTGCTTAGGGGCTCCTCGCCTGTAGGTCTTGAATTTGCCTAGTGGTTCATCGCCAGTAGGACTTTGAATTTGCCTAGGGGCTCCTCGCCTGTAGGACTTTGAATTTGCCTAGGGGCTCCTCGCCTGTAAAACTTTGAATTTGCCTAGGGGCTCCTCGCCTGTAGGACTTTGAATTTGCCTAGGGGCTCTTCGTCTGTAGGTCTTGAATTTGCCTAGTGGTTCATCGCCAGTAGGACTTTGAATTTGCCTAGGGGCTCCTCGCCTATAGGACTTTGAATTTACCTAGGACCTCCTCGCCTGTAGGACTTTAATTTGCCTAGGGGCTCCTCGCCAGTAGGACTTTGGAAATTGCCTAGTGGTTCTTCATCAGTAGGACTTTGGGAAGACTTCAAACAATGAATGCCTTAACCGTGAGTTTTGTGATTTTGAGGTTTCACTAACCTTTGTATGGTTTTTAGTTGACCAAAAACTATTTTGAAAAGTAGTTTTGAAATTAATCAAAACTGTTTGAAACGTGATTTTTTCTTTAGTTTACCATAAACTATTTGAAAATTTGATTTTAAGTTGACCAAAAACTTTTTGAAACCTGGTTTTGAAATATACATTATTTGTATTAGATGCATTTCAGACAATCAAATTTCCTTTTTAAAGAATTATTTGAACAAAATGCTTGCAATCTTTCAAGAAATGCTTGAAATGATCGTTTAGAAGACCTTCATTTGAAATGATTTATTTCAATATATGAACTTGGTCTTTTCTTCATTTGATTGAAAGGGGACTTGTCTGATATCCCTCAATTTTTCTCTCTTAACCAATCCGTAGGTGTTCGGAGGGTATTTGCAATGTATACAATCCAATTGATCCGATAAGGTCTTTCAAAAGGTTGTAATGTTGGCTTGGTCAATGGCTATTCAAAGGATAGGCATTCTGAGGCCAAGAAAAAGATTTCGTCACAACTGACTTCGGGTTTACAAGTTAAGAACCTCGAGAACAAGACAAGATATTATTGCATACACTTCTTTGAGTGATGACTTCTTGTCATAAAGTCATGTTTCTACTTTCAACATCCCAATCTGAAGAGTCTTTGGAGAGAGGTTGTATTGTTGGGATTGGGTAGGCTCAAAAGGCTCATTTGTTTGAATTCAGGGTTTTTATGAAATCGGTGATCTTCTTGGCATCACCACTTTTCTCTGATTCTTTTTTTCACTAGAGATCTTTTCTTTTATGAACATCAGAGTCCTCTAAATATTCATCACAATCTCTTTTCTTTTGCTCATTTTCACTTGTTGTGATCTATGATCTCTCATGATCTTGACTTTGCTTTGTCATGACTTTTTGTCGTTTTGAGCTTTCTTTTGCACTCTCTTTTTTTCATTTTTCCCGGGCATTTGGCCTTGCTTTTACCAGGCACACTGCTTTTTCATGCCCCAGACTCTTTTGTCTTTGATCTTTTTGAATTCTAAGGACTCTGTGTTCTGCCCTTTTGTTTCCTATCTATTAAAGTGGATCATATGCTCATGCTCCAGTGTGAAGAGATGATCACCAATTTGGGGTTCTGAAATGAATATTCAGGTTCAATTGGGCTTTGCCAAAGGTAATGTGTTTGGGTATAAGAAATGAAGTGCTCTTCTTCGTCTTGGGATGTCTTGAGCTTCCATATGACTTCATATGAAGTTATCACAGAAAGATCGATGCAAGAGTATGCAATAAAATCTTTCTTGATCCTATTCTCCATAACTATCAATTCACAAACCTCCTGATTTGCCCCAATGTGGGGTAGTTCTTAACAGGGTTGTTTTGGGAAAACTTCTCTACTGTTTTGGCTCAAATTTGATTTGCAAGGGATAAGCATGTGTTTGGGATAGTGAAATGATTTGCCTTTCATCATTTCAATCCATGTAATCATTGCGAATATCCCCTATTTCCTTCGAATGAGTTTTTCTCACTCACCTCTGCACTTTGACTTTGAGTGTATAGGGG